AATTTTATTTATATAAGGTATATATGTTAATTTTTAATTTTTTTATAAACTAAATCATTTTGTTAATTATAAAAAATCTAATATTATTAAATATATATTAGTAAATAAAAATTTTTTAATCAAAAGATTATAAGTGTTAAATTAATGTAAAAATTGACACGTATAATTTGCATAAATAAAAATTTTAATTTAATAATTAATTTTTAAAAATATTAATTAAAATGTATATTTTTAAACAAATTCTCTAAAAAAATTTAAGAGACTAATTTATCATACATTATCTTCATATTAAATTATATTATACAGTGTAGTCTATTATATCTAAAATCTTATAGACATCTAAAATCTTAGTACGTCTCTTATTTTTCGACCACTACCATTCAAAGGTTCCTTTGTAAGGGTGATTTCTCATGTCCATACATACTCTGACTCCTTCCTTGCTCAATTTCTACTAAGCACTGATTCACTTTATTTTTGTGGAAAAATCACATATCAATATTGGTGACCCTTCTCTCTTTTTTTCTTTTTTTTAACGGATTACAATTTTAAGGAGAAAGGGTTTCAATTCCAATTTTAGAGTTGAGTAGTGCATTTTACAATGAGATATATAACTACTGAGTCACAAAACCCAAGTGTAATGTTGGTAATCTCTCTTAATTTTTATTGTTAATTAATTAAAAATGTTTTTTTTCTTGTCTAAAGTCTAAACTCATAAAATAAGATGTCAATTTGAATTAAAAATACGTATTTGAAACATTATGAGTTTGTTAATCTAAATTATTACAAGTATTTTTGTCATTTTCAATCTAAAGTTCTAAACTAACATATAAACTAACATATAAAATTGAAGTAATCGAAGTGGGCAAAGAAATAAAAAATGCTATTTTATAATTAATAACTTGATGAGAGTACCTAAAGTTAAGGAATGAGTGTTTGGACAGAAGAGAAATCTAAATGCCAAAATGAGATGATTGATCATAGGAAGATTGCTTTCTCCTTTTCCAATCCATTTATGGGATGTTAAAAGTCCACAATAATAGAGGATGGAATAATTTGGCACGTGGCATGTGCAAGCTCATGCTCCCCCATCCGACATCCAACCCTCCTTAGTCCTTCCAATCTTTCAATTTTTTTTTTTCAATCAAAATTATTGAACTCCAACCTTGGAAAGTGCCCTACAAAAAATAAGCTATACCCTACGATGGTACTACAATTATATGATTTGGAAAACTTGATCCACATTTCTTTTGCCAGGCTTGCATTGATGCTACTCCATTCAATTCCTTTCAACTGACTAAAAGGTCGGTCAAGATTCACAAGTTCATCGCTTTTGCTACATGGGATTTTTCTTTTCTCTTTTATTCTTTACCAAAATGCCTTCAATGAAACTCATTTGGCAGTAGTTAAATAATAAGAATTGATATGATTCAGTTAATAAAATTATTTTATTTGGTTGATAAAAAAAAATCATGTTAAAAACACAAATTAATTGATGTCCATTTACTTAAGGTTTAAATTTATAT